AGGGTTATCTCCTTCAGCTTCTGGGTGGGGGCAGTGGCAGAATCAGCATGGAGACCCAGGTGGTGGGGCCCGTGGGGGAGAGCAACTGGTGTGGGGGCAGTGATTGTTTCTCGGAGCCAACCGCCACTGTTTTAGGTAACAGTGTCAATGGAATGTAAAGAAGCAAATGAATCTGAAACACCAGTATCTAAAATAGGTGAAACAAAAACGTTAATGATTGACAAGAAGGATGTGTAAAAAGGCACTGTCCTACAGCCTGAGACATTCCCCCCCCAAAAAAATAATAATAATAAGGAACGCCACACAATCCTCAGCGTGTTTTCGTAGAGGGAAGTCCCACTGAGTGCAGAGAGACTTCTTCCCATATAAATGAACGTAGGATAGCAGCTCTGGGGTAAGCCAGGGCTCATGTGGGCTTACAGAAGCTTAGAATATTTTCATGAGAAGAACTCTGCCACCGCAAATATAAACAGATTTTCCCCTGACTGTGTTCAGGGAGCCTTTTTAAAAATTCCTTCTGAGAACAACCGTCTAGGAATACACAGAAGACAGAGGCAATTTTTCTGTCTGCCAAACCAATGAAGAATGGTTTATGAGTGGCATTTCAAAATGTTACCTTTGGAAATTATACAGTACTCTCTCATTTTGTGACATTGTTGGTAAATTTGAGCACCGGCTGCAAGCGTGTGGAAAGTCGAACAAAGGAAAGAAAGAACCCAATGCCCTTTATTGATTTGCGGTTAGTTAAATTGAGGGGAAAGTCTTAGTTCGCACACACACACACACACACACACACCGACTGCTACAGGAAACGTAAAGATGTCTACATTTGTTCTTGGACTCTGTGACCGTGGGGGGGGGGAGATAAAAAAATGATAATTATCCAGCTGAGAATGGCAGTATTATCTCTCTCTGCCCACAGTTAAGATGGACTCTCCCCCCTCCCCCCACACACACATTATAGGCACAATCCAGTCAATTTGAAGAAGCACTTTAAAATCTGTCACGGGGGAAAACTTGTCAGATCACTTCCACTGAAGTCAGTGTGATGTAATACAGTATAACTTTGGCTGAACAGGGCCCAGTATTAATCTCAACCCCCTTGCAGGAAGTGAGTGCTTTCTGGTCTCTGTCATTTTGGGATATGGCCATTTCCCTTTTAATGTTCAATAGTGAGAAGCTAAAACAAAAACGACCCTGTGAAAGGTTTTAGGGCTGCTCAATGAGAATATTGTCACTGGCATCATGAAAACGGGTTCAGGCCACGTTCTTCTTTAAGCATGGGAGCTGAATCCGTAATACACACATTCATTTCCCCCCTAGTTAACAAAAGAATATTGGCACACTGGGAACAAAATTTAGGTTGGTCAACAGCCCATTTGTTATTTGGATGGTGTGTTTCCCCCCCATTTCCGCTGAGATCATTATCACTATTATTATTAAGTACTCTAGAAATGTGTTGCACCCTGACAGCTATATAAATTAATATCAATTATACAATTGTTGGTATATTATTAATAATAATAATTTACTATTATCATCATTGCAAAGCTATTTAAAGTCATAACTGAAATGTAAAGTAGGGGGGAAATTGAAGTGGCTGATTGTATGCCGTCAAGTCATAATGGACTTAAAGAGAGCGAACCCCTCATGGAGTTTTCAAAGCAAGAGATGAGCAGAGAGGTCTGTTCGCCATGGCTTTTCACTGTACAGCAACCCTCGTCTTCCTTGGCGGTCTCCCATCCAAGTACTAACCAGGGCAGATCCTGCTTAGCTTCCACACTCTGATGAGATGAAGCTAGTCAGGGCTGTTTAGGCTGCTAATCATTAATTAAAGTTAAAGGTAAAGGTTCCCTTGCTCGAAAGCCAGTCGAGTCCGACTCTAGGGTTGCGGTGCTCATCTCCGTTTCTAAGCCGAAGAGCCAGCGCTGTCCGAAGACGTTTCCGTGGTCATGTGGATGGCATGACTAAACACGAAGGCACACGGAACGCTGTTACCTTTCCACCGAAGCGGTACCTATTTATCTACTTGCAATTTCTTGCTTTCGAACTGCTAGGTTGGCAGGAGCTGGAACTAGAGACGGGAGCTCACCCTGTCATGCGGCACCCGGGTCTCGAACTGCCAAGCTACTGATCTTCCGGTCTGCAACTCAGTGTCTTAACCTCTGAGCCACTATGCCCCCATATAGTCATTAATTACTAACCATTAATATTAAACAAGACTAATATTATCTCGAATTAATAATTTATTAGTATATATTATTAATGCTGATGTTTATTATTAAAATAATTAATGCCATTTTATACCACTTTCCCCATAGCTGAAGCTGTAAATCAGTTTGTTATATGTGATTTTACAGCTCTGAATCTACTTTAGTTTTTGCTCTGTTAGATTACATTTAAGGTATTTAAATTGTTTTCTCAGAAGTGGTGACAAGTAAAGCAATACAGATCTAAAAAGACTGGACTGCTGGGGTCTGTTTTATTTCCGTCATACAGAGTTCAAGGAATTTTCCAAAGTATAAAAGTGTAACCTAACAGTCATGCTCTGCTGACTGTATTCTTCTGAAACGATAATTGCCAGTGTGGTATAGAATTCCCGGGCAGCAAGAGTATTTATCACATGCCCCTAAGGAAACTTTTTGGTTGTTATTGCTTCTCACCCCTTTGCTTTATTTAGCAAAGACTGTAGAATATGTGAGCCTTTTTTTGAACTCAAATATCCATATCCACATATATACGTACATACATGCACACAAAGTAATTTAAGAGGTGCCGTTTCCATATTGGCTTCCAAAGTGCAACATGTACATTACACATTCCTGCCCAGAAACAAAGTCCCGTGCATGATGCTCACATTCACACTTGTGTTGCTGCACGCATTGCTAGCTCTCCCTATTCTCTTCAGCAGAAAGGGCAGATGATGTGGTTGTCCTCACGAATGACATGAAACAACTTCTTCCCTTAAGAACGGAGCATGCATAGGAACTGGGACGCCCACTGCAAGGCACTGAACAGAGCTGTTTGCTGTTCATTCGTGAGAATATTTCTGTAAACATACGGACACGATCAACTGATTTCAACTGATGTCAGAGTGAGAGAGAGAGATCAGCAGCCCCATCTTATAGAAGTGAGTCACACACTATTCAATGAGGCTTACTCATGACATTGTGGCTGTGAGCACATGCATTCCATTCAAGACAATGGGAACTGACTGGGAATCATGCCTAGTATATCCTTCAGCTACTACTCCAGTATGCAAAAATGAGTTTACAGGCTCTTGAGAATCCCTACGTCTGTCTGAAAAGTCTCTAAGCAAACAAACCAATCAGACCTTCCCACCTTACAGCACGACAGGGGACTCGAATGTGCATGAAAAAGTGGCTGATTGAGAGGAGGCGGAGGGCAGAAGACCAGCCTGCTAGCTGCCATGACCTTTTGCACTTGGAAGGTCTTCTCCTTGAACCTAGACATGCTCGGCAGGGAGAGACATGCACTCTGCAGAAGTTCAGAAGCACTCTCGATTATCATCCTCGTCCTCATGCCACTATTGTCAAGGATGAGTCTTGGGACTGAAAACAGAAAATGTGTCCACCAAAGATCCAGTTGACGTAGGAAACCTGAGAATTCCATGCTCCCACAGGCAACACGTGAACCCAAGTCAGATCAGAGCCATGAGGGTCACCAACCTCCAGGTGGCGCCTGGAGATCCCCCACTATTACAATTGCTCAATATCAGTTCCCCTGGAGAAAATGGCTGTTTTGGAGGGTGGGTTCTATGGCATTAGACCCTGCTGAGGGCCCTCCTCAAACCCCACCCTCCCCAGGCTCCACCCCAAAAATCTCCAGGTATTTCCCTACCCAGATCTGGCAACCCTAGCTGTGACACATGGCTAGAGTGGGCTTAACCCTTTCCCCATCCCACTGCTTTCCAGATCTGAAATGCCTCTCTGTAGGAGTTGCCCCCACGTCCTTAAGTGCCATCAGGTCACAACCCACTTACGGCAACCCCAGCAAGGGGCTTTTGAGGCCAGTGAGAAACAGAGGTGGTTTTGCCGTGGCCTTCCTCTGCAGAGTCTTTCTTGGAGGCCTCCCTTCCAAGTACCAACCCTGCTTAGCTTCTAAGAAAGATTGGGCTATACCATGCCACTTTCCCTCTCTCTCGGGAAACTTACGGGCAGTCTAATTTTTCGATGAAGAATTTGCAGTGCACCTGCGTCAACAGGACCCATGGGAACCGTAAGTATTCTGCAACCTGCTATGATCCCTGATCCCTGGCTCACATTCTGAAGGCTACAGAATGGCTAGGCACAGTTTTTCACCGTTTCGCAACTTTCAATGCTGGTTTAAGTACAGACATTATTTAGATTACACAGAATTCATCCGGAAGAAGGGTTCTGTGTCAACTCCAAAACATGCATATTTTTAAAACCCAGGGATCGTTTCGTAGAAAAAGAGCTAGGGGAACTCATTAGCATAACTCATTAGCATATGCCACACCCCCTGACATCACCGGAAGTGTGTCATAAGGCCACACCCCCTGACATCACCGGAAATGTGTCATAAGGCCACACACCCCGCCCCCAACGGTCCCGGCTGCCACCGCCGGCCTTGCAGCTCCACTGCTGAGCCCCATTAGGGGCCCGGCTGTGGATCTGCAAGGCCGGTGGGAGTGCAAGGAAGCCCCACAAAGGCCCTCCCTGGCCCCAGGCAGGCAGGAGTGGGGAGAGGCAGGGAGGAAGCAATTTACCCTCCCTCTTCTCCTGCCTCCTCCTGGCTGAATGAGGGCCGGAAGTGGGGCGGCCGGAAGCAGGGGGCGGGGCTTCGTCATGTGCCCCGCCCCCGGTACCTCACCTGGGGGAACTGCGATCCCCGCATTCCCCCCCGAAATGACCTCTGTTAAAACCCAACCACTAGGTAATACCACCATCTCTCTTATTTCACACCCTGGAATCCCCAGAGACATCACAAGAGAAGAGAACAAGCCAACCGAGCCTTACCTAACATTTTCACTGTTTGCGTATTGTTTTTGTCCCTGACAGAAGTCTTTGGTCCAATGTCCTTCTTTTTTCTCCGCCAGAGCTTCCTCACAATCAGGCTGTACAGGACAGTCAAGCAAAATACAGGCAAGAAAAAAAAGACACTAGAAGTCCACACCATGATGGTCAGGAGCCCCGACTGGATCGCGTACTCGGTGGCCCGGCATTCATTGGTCTCCGAGGGATTCGTCCCATTCTCATGCTCGACCCCAACCAAGACGAAGATAGGGCCGGCGGTGACGAAAGACACCACCCACAGCACGAGGATGACCAGTTTGACTTTGCCTTTGGTGATCACCACTTTGGCCCTGAGCGGAAAGCAGACGGCGAAATACCTCTCCACGCTCAAGGCGGTGATGTTCAGGATGGTGGAGTAGGTGCAACACTCGCTGACAAACTGGAAGAGCTTGCACAGAAGGTCCCCGAAATTCCAAGGCCTGTACTGCCAGAGGCGGAAGAGGTCCAGGGGCATGCAGAGAAAGATCAGCAAGTCCGAGAAAGCCATGCTGGAAAGGTAAAGATTGGTGGTAGTCCTCATGTCCCGGAACTTGGAAACCACCAGCATCGTCATCAGGTTTCCCAGAATGCCAACCACAAAGAGCAGCACACAGATGATGGTGACGCCGGTAAGCAGCGGCGCGGGGAAGAGGTGCAGCGGGTAATCCAGCCATGTGTCGTTGTTGTAATCCATGACGGCAAGCCCCGGGGGAGATCCAGCCTGCGGGCAGCTCTCGTTGTACATCCCTGGGATCTAGAGACCCTTTCTGAGCATGAGCAGGATTCTGACGATCTTGAGGGGCCACGTCAGCAGCTCATCGTGTTGGTGGCGACCACGACGGCCGGTGGGCATTGACATCCGGGTGGGGCTGTACGAAAGCAAGCCAACAAGAGGCGAGGAGAGGTGAACAAGATACGGAAAGGGGGTTTGGGAAGAGGCTGAGATCTGAGATGAAAGCCAAGCTGGCCTTTCCTGGGGGTTGACTAATTCACCTGGGCTAACTTCATTGTGCTTCTGCATTCATGAGACCAAACAGAAATAATCATAAGATCGGTCCGCACACACACACACACAACACTGCTTGACAACGGCTGCTGAACGTGTGAACTCAATCACACTCAATCACACAAGGAGGTATGATGAGCCCTGCTGGGTCAAAACCTGCGGCCCATCTAGGGACTAGATGTGGAGGGGCCATGGCTCAGTGCTAGAACATCTGCTGAAGTTCCCAGGTTCAATCTCTGGCATCTTCAGTAACTACCATGAAGGAGTTGAGAGGGAAGGCCTCAGCTTGAGACCTTAGACCCCCAGTCTGAGTAAGCAGAACTGACTCTGATGGACCAGTGGCCTGGTTCAGTATAAGAGAGCGTCGCATGTTCATGGGTTCAGAATTTCACACACAGGACAGTCAGTTGCCCTGGAGGGACAACAGAGACGGCACGGAGGTCAAGGCCTTCCTTCCCCTGGTCTTGCCTCCTAGCACTGTTAGAACAGCCTGGGGAAAGGGTGGTAATAATCCATGCATACAAGTCATCAATGGATGCTGCACTGACAAACACGCATGTGTCATGTAAACAGGGCCACAGAATGAAAGATCCGAAAGAAATCTTGCTCCGTTCCCTCCCACAAACCCAAACAGATCAAAAGGCAAGAACGAGCTTGGTGTAGTGGTTGGACTAGGATCTGGAAAGCCCAGATTCAAACCCCCCACTCTTCCATCGAAGCCCGCTGGCTGACCCTGGGCCAGTCACACCGTCTCGGCCTAACCTACCTCACAGGGTTGTTGTGAGGATGAAATGGAGGCGAGGAGAACAACGTAGGCCACTTTGAGTCCCCACTGGAGATCAAGGCAGGGTGTAAATGAAGTAAAACAAACAGATAAATCAAAACCATCAACAGCCAATGAGCTGCCTTTGAAATCCCAAACATCTGTGCCAAAAACAGAGAGGGGGTGTTTGTCGAAGGAGAATCCAAGGTGAGTCGGACAACGAAGCCAGGCTCTGTTTTGTACCGGGGAGACACCACTAGCTGCACTGCAGAAAAGGCCTCCCATGCTGCATGGATGTTCAAGAGCCAGGCTGTGGTAGTGGGGAAAATAAGAGCATAAGAAGAGCCCTGCTGGATCAGACCAGCGGTCCATCTAGCCCAGCATCCTGCCTCACCCAGTGGCCAACCAGTTCCTCCGGACGGCCGACAACAGGGCATAGAGGGCGAGGCCTTCCCCTGATGTTGCCTCCCGGCTCTGGGGTTCAGAGGCATAGTGCCTCTGAATGTGGAGGTTCCCCTCAGTCACCAAGGCTAGTAGCCATTGATAGACTTATCCTCCATGAATCTATCTAATCCCCTTTTAAAGCTGTTTATTCCTGTGGCCATCACTACATCCTCTGGCAGCGAATTCCACATTCTCATCGCTCTCTGGGTGAAGAAGTACTTCCTTTTGTCCGTCTTGCACCTACTGCCCATCAGCTTTGTTGGATGCCCACAAGTTCTAGCATTTTGGGAGAGGGAGAAAACGTTATCTTGGTCAACTCTCTCCACCCCATGCATAATTTTATAAACCTCTATCGCGTCTCCCCTTTGCTGTCTCTTTTCTAAACTGAAAGTGGGGAAAGTACTGTCCCATGAAGCCCAGCGTTCTCTAACCCTCCCTCAGAGGGATGTTGCGATAATAAAACAGAGGATAGCCCCATGCATGCTACTTTGAAGAAATGATGGGTGGCAAAGCGAGAAATGAAGACATCCGAAGAAATCATGCATTGAAACAGTCTTGCACCAGCCGGCGCAGAAGAGAAACGAAGGTGGCAGAATAACTCTTTTGCGGTCTGCACTCAGGTGCGGTACAGAATGGCCCCTGCCGCTTCGAAGAGGCACTGGAGGTCATGCAGATGAAACAACCAAGCAAACACAGCCGCTCTGTTGCTTTTGGGCCACTTTTTAACTCTTGCCCTCCCACACTCAGCCTGGAGCACCTCGACAATCAATGCACACGCAACCAGTTGTCAAAAACAATCACACACACACAAGTTTAGTGGCTCTCCACACATAATGCACATCAGAATGGGAAGAGGCTGTGGCTCAGTGGCAGAAACTTTACTTGGCATGCAGAAGTCCCCGATGCTCCCTCTAAGCTGTCGAGTCTTATGAGCAAAAATTCTACTTTATGAGCTGCTGGCATTAAAGTTGTGAGCAAGCGATTTGGCTGCTGCATAAACTAGTTTGCTCTGGAGCCATCCTTCCTGAGCTAAGGCAGAAATGTGTGAGCTGGAGGCTAAAAAACTGTGAGCTAGCTTACACAAACTCAGCTTAGAGGGAATCAAAGGATTCAGACACGCTCCCTGGCACCAGTGCTCCCTCTAAGCCAAGTTAGTGTGAGCCAGCTCACAGTTTTTCAGCCTCCGGCTCACACATTTTTGCCTTAGCTCAGGAAGAATGGCTCCAGAGCAAACTAATTTATGCAGCAGCCAAATCGCTCGCTCACAACTTTAATGCCAGCAGCTCACAGAGTAGATGGGAAAGACCTCAGCCCAAGACCCCTGAGAGCCGCTGCCACTCTGAGTGGACAATACTGACCTTGCTGGACCGAGGGTCTGATTTCAGTACAAGGCAAGCTTCCACGAGTCCACGAGACTCCCACCTGCAGTCCTTGCTTGGGTGCAAGTCCCCCTGAACTTGGTGGGACTTGCTTCCGAGTAGACACGAAATAGGAAGGAGGTGCCAACGTGCGTTAAAAAGACTCAGAGGGCAAATCACGCAACTTCTTAACCCTCCTTCCTGCTGTGATGACAAAGGGCACCTACAAGGGATGGAAAGGTCAGTTGTTCAGGCTTAAGGGGGCTTGTTGTCCTGCCCCTGAGATTCTTCTCTGTCTCCTGCTTACGCCCCCCCCCCCATCAACTTTCTTCCCGCAAACTCCTGGTCTACGGAGTACAACAGCAACATCAAAGGGAGGGAGAGGGGTTGGGGTGTGGTCGAGAGAGACGCACCCGACACCGCCCCCCCCCCCAATCCCCGCGCTGCATCTCTCAGGTTCCTTCAAGATTTAGCCCCTGAACTCGTTTCCAATATCAGTTTAAACCCGCGGAAAACTGTGCATCAGGAAGAACAACGGGGGGTGGGGGAGACATCCTCCGAGCATGTGCAGAGTGCCTTTTCCTTCTAGAGGGGCAGAGGGTGACTTACAGGCAGCTTGGAGCGCCGGCGCCTCTCCGGTTCTGCAGCAGAAGGAACTGCGGGGAAGCGAGTCCGGCCGAGTCGAGCCTCCGCCAGACCCCGCAGTGTGGATCAGACCCGCGGAGTGTCTGCGGCAGCCGCGCCAGCCTCTCTCTCTCTTTCTCTCCCTACCTGCGGCAGCTCCGCCTCCCTCCAGTCGGATGAGCCGCCGGGCAGGTGCGGGGGGGGGGAAGGTGGGGGGGCCGCCCCCCCCCCCCCGCCCTCCAACTGCGTGTGCCTGCAGAGGATCCCTTGATCTCCCCCCTCCCTTCCCCGGCTCTTTGGAACGGGGGCTCAGAGTTACTGCGCCTGGATGTGGGGAGGGCTCATCAAGGGGGTGCAAGCGAAAGGGGGGGGTGTTTGGGGCGGGGTGCGTGAGTTAAGGGGTGCTCGGCGTCGGGTGCCGCGCCAGGGAAATGGGCTGGGCTCATCTTCATTCATTCATTCATTCACTCATTCATTCATTCACTCAATCTCTGAATGCATTCATGAATGAACCTTACAAACGGCTCCCAGCTCGCCGTCCCCGTCCCCCCCCCCTTCCAATCTCCCAAGGCGGGTCAGCAAATCCGCGAAGAAGCCTTTTCCGTCCAAGAGAGCCGTCCAAGCCAGCGGGGCCATCAAGCCCGGCGAGGGGCGACTGCGCAGCTCCGGTGGCTTCTTTGCAAACCAGACGCTGACAGTGCGCCGGAAAAGACCTTGACCCGGCCACGCTCCGGACGTTTTGGGCGCCGCCGGGTGAAAAGTTGAGGCTCGGCCCGTCAGACGAGACGGGAGGCGGGCGAGGGAGGCAGCCGAGGAGAGGGGCTTCGGGTCTGGCCGAGGGGCAATGGAAAGTTAAAAGGGAACCGAGAGAGCACACGCAGAGGTCATTCTGGCTCTCCCAGCTCTCCTTAGGGGCTCTTTAAAAAGTTATGGCCGCCACGGCCGCGGCAAAACGTTCCCGCCTCCCTGAGCCTGGACTCCTAAAGGCAAATTCCACCTCTCGGTTGCCGCTTAGACATCACACTCGAGAGGTCATTCTGGCTCTCCCTGCTCTCCTTAGGGGCTCTTTAAAAAGTTATGGCCACCGTTGCTGTCGGCAGCGGCCACGGGGCCCCGAAACGCAGTGGAGGCCATAATATTTTAAAGATGTCCAGCTCTCATTAGGGGCTCTTTAAAAAGTTATGGCCACCGTTGCTGTCGGCAGCAGCTGCAACGGCAGCGGGGGCGTGGGCCTCCCTCAGCCCCTGGGTGGTGTCCTTGGACTCCGAGGGGCAAATTCCACCTTGGACTCGTCGGGCAAATTCCACCGAGTGTTGCCGCTCAGACATCACACGTGAGAGGTCATTCTGGCTCTCCCAGCTCTTGTTAGGGGCTCTTTAAAAAGTTATGGCTGCAGCTGCTGGCAGCGGCTGCATCCCCGCCTCCCTGAGCCCGAGTCCAAGGCCACCACCCCGGGGCTCAAGGAGGTGGGGGAAGGTTTTGGGGGGGCCGCCCACCGCAGTTGCAGCTGCCGCCACAGCGGCAGCGGCCATAACTTTTTAAAGAGCCCC